GTGGTAAAATAATTATTGCTGTGTTAACGGCATACTGTTAACATGCCTGGTACTAGAACAACCTATTATTAATACTAAGTTTTTGACTTTTTTTCTTGAGTTTCATTATTTAATGAATTCACCACATTTTATCAGCAGTTTACAAGTATTGCAAAAAATTTCAATGAATTTAAGAAAAAAAACACTTCAAAGCTAGAAGTTGGATTATTGAAGTGGTTAACAAGCTGCTAGCATTTTTAATAAACATGTTTCAATTCTTGTGTTTGTAGTTTGTGTAAAAATGAACAGAAGAACTGAACCCTAGCCTAAACTGTTGTGGTTTTTTTTTTTAAAAAACGACAAAATTGTTCTCATATCGGTTTCGGTCAAAGCTTCAATGAGCCGCTGCAGAGGAACCAAGGAGACGCGTCGCCTCAGAGCCRCAGGCTGCAGATCCCTGTTCGAGACAAACCACCCAAAAAGCTATGGTCCATATGGTGTCCAAACTATTGCAACATTTTAAATGTAGCTGAGATAATAAACAAAAGCAGAGGGAGTTTGGAACACGGGTCAAAACAAAGAAATAAGGGCGAACGCCTCGAACCAGCCAAACAGATGATCATTGGTCTGATTGGCAAACRAAACCTAAAAATTAAAAACCTGAAAACACGATGATTTACAAATCCAAGCAAAAGGTTGTCAGAAGGTGTGTGCAGGGATCGGTCTGTCTGTCCATCCATCATGATGTTACACCCAATTTACTGAAATCTAATAATCTTTTTTTTTTCCACTCCAGAAAGCAAAAACCCAACCCCCACACCGGCCTCACTACCCCATTTCTTTTTTCTCTCTCTCTGCTCTTTTTGTTTAATTGAATGTTGCATGCTTTCAGAGCAGTTCTAAAATATATAATGAGGTCATCTGCATTAGACTGCAGATTGGATGACCTTTGCTTTTGCCAATAATTACTGTAAAACCCTCCTCTGTCTGTCATCGCCGGGGATGTGGCAGGGACCTCTCTTTGCGCACCAAAGGTTAGCTGGGGGCTTGTGTCTGGACTTACAAAAAAATGCCCAAGGAAAATGTCATTAGAGGAAGAGGAAAAGACACTCGGAATTAACAATTGGGAATTCAATCAGAACGGCTTTCAGGAAGGTTGGCTTGTGCCTACGTTGTTTTCATGTCTTCATGCATGGCTTGTTTTAAGTGATGGGATGTAACAAAATACAAGTACTTTGTTGCTGTGCCTAAGTACATTTTTCTTATATCTGTACTTAAGTAGATTTCATCATAGGTATTTTTGACTTTTACTCCACTACATTTTACATTAAGTATCTGTACTTTGTACTCCACTACATTTCTGTAATGCGTTGAATTACAAATTACATACATGTCACATCGCATTACGGGTTGGTTTTTTTATTGTTGTTGGTTTGTTTGTTGTTTTAGTTTGAAAGTAATCAGTGGCAAGAGAGGAATTGCTGTAATTGGTTCATTGAACCACAGCAAAGTGGGAAAGTATMATTAATTTACACTACATGCGTTCCGGCTCCGCTCCGCTCCGAGTGTTTACACTGGCTGCGCATGGCGGCGGTGAGTGGACGGCGATCTGGCAAAATTAGATACGATCCTATTTTTGCCGAATACCGGAGCTGTGCCGTAGTCAATTTTTAAAGATCACTTCGCACCAACAGAAAGAAATAAGACACTTTTAGGTGGGATAATTTGTCGGAATAATGTCGAAATCCCAGCTATATTAATAAATACATGGATATATTTCTACACAAATGCTGTCAGAATGTATYGTTCTGTTTGGGAAGCAGATGGAAACATGTAGCATGAAGCATATATRTACACACATGATACACGTGGATTTTATTTTGAAATCAGAAGTTTCGGAAAGACGACAGYGAGACRGTTTCAACATATATATCAAAAGCCTTTTATATCGTTGTTTTCAGCTGTGTTTGGAGTCCGTCTTTCACAGAATTAATTATTTTTTGCTCTGACTTCTACATTTATCACTGAATTTATCACGCAATCTCCTTCCTGCACACTCTCTGTCGGACTGGAGCGGAGCGGAGGCTGTATAAACTGAGACACAAACAAACAGCTGCGACCTGCGCACCACAGCGCAGCGGAGCGGAGACGCATGTAGTGTAAATCCGGGGTTAGACCCTCCTTCAAAAAAAAGCAGCTGGAGCATCAGCAGCAGCACGCCCAAAATGGATTCCACCACAGAGGAAATGTGCCACTCATGGCCTGATTTAAAAGMCATATTCAAGTTAACTGGTTCAAAACAGCGACTTGTTGAGATTTGATGAAGGACGTTGGTGGCCATTTTACAGCTTGTGTAGATGTCACAATCTCAGATGATGCACAGAATCACAAGTCAGAGGGTAAACACAAAAACATGCATCATCTGCATCATTGATGTATTAAAATATACGTACACTAGGCACACTTCATGATATTGTAGACCATTAAGGAATACATTATGACAGTACTTTTACTTTTAATACTTTAAGTATTTTTAAAAGCAAGTACTTCCTTACTTTTACTCAAGTAAAAATGTTAACGTGGCACTTTTACTTTTACTAGAGTACATTTTTGTCTGTTTTTCTGTACAGTGTTTGAGTACTTTCTCCACCACTGCTTGTTTTATAAAACACATCTGAGGAGAAGTTGTCCAAATTCCTTCTTTGAGCCAAAAAACAGAATTTGAGGGGGGTGGGGCACTCTGGGGGGCAACGTCTTCTAACTCTGCAGAGTTATTTACCCTCGACAGACACCAAAACAAACAGAGGTTGTAAATGTTCCTGATGCAGATGATCACATTCATCCAGGGATGTATATTTCATATCCTTCATTAATTATACCACACAGTAATCATTGTGTGCGTTTGTGAAAGAGATGTAACTTCACACTTTTCACATTGATTAATTTGAACAGTGCACGGTGTGAATTTGCATGCTGTTGTTGGTTGTGCAGTGAAACGTGACTGTGTTCACAAWGTCTGAGCTGCCCTTCCATCAATACCTGGCACGGGTCAAACCGGACCCTTAACGAAGCAATCGCTTGTAGACGTAGCTTTACATCGTTCAGGCTAAATCACGCCACAGTCCTGTTGGGGACTTTTTGAGGGGGGGCGGAGCAGAGCACTAACATCGGAGGCTCTGTTTTGTGCTCTTGGTTCTAGTCGCAGCGGCGCGTCACGTTTCACCTGCCGGACGGCTCTCAGGAGAGCTGCAGTGACAGCGGTCTGGGGGACCACGAGCCTGTAGGCAGTGGCTGTCTCCTCACACAACCTCTCCCTCTGGTGCAGGCGCAGGACGACTTCTACGAGCAGGCCTCCCCCGACAAGAGGACCGAAGCCGACGGCAACTCCGATCCCAACTCTGGTGAGTCGTAAAATCATCTTTATCTAACGGGAAGAGGTCAGCTGACACAACACATGGCTTCTAAAAGAAAATAAACTGATAACTACAGAAATTTATTAGCGTTGAGTGCTGAAATTAGCTGAAATCTACAGTCTGACAGCGCTAACATTTTCTATTTTTGCTGTAAATGTTTTGTACCAATGCCAGTCTCTTGCAAAGGAGA